ACGGAATCCTCAGCAAATGGACTACTGGTATATTTGGGATAAGAGGGCATTTAAAGCCTTGAAGGATATTCAGAGATTCAAATGAAGCAAGACATGCTTACATAGGAAATGTTGAAAGATTGAAGTAACAGCTTTGGCTCTCCTTCAGCACCTGGGCAGAGAGGAATCTCGTGAGGTTCAACAAGGACAAGTGCAGGGTCCTACACTTGGGAAGGAATAACCCCCAGTTACAGATTGGTACAGATTACCAACCACTGGAAAGCAACAGCTCTGCAGAGAGGGACATGGGGGTTAACAAGTTAACCTCCCTGAGAGTTAACAAGTTAACCATGAGCCAGCAGTGTGCCCTCATGGCCAAGAAGGCCAATGGGATCCTGGCTGCATCAGGAGGAGTGTTGCCTGCTGGTCAAGGGAGGTGATCCTGCCCCTCTAATCCATTCTGGTGAAGCCGCACCTGGAGTATTGGGAGCAGTTCTGGACTCTTCAATACAAGAGGGATGTGGAACTTCTAGAGCAGGAGGGTTGGACTAGATCTCTATATGTCTCATCAAACTTCAACCATTCTGTGATTCTGTGTATAGGAATGTTCTAGGTTGGAGCAGAACTACTTCAAAGTGTTCCCTGGAACACTTTGTGACTTCTCTGATGTGGCTTCACTGTAATGTTAGTCTTGGTGGTCTGGGTTTCATCCCACAGATGCACTGTGTGTGCAGTAAAACTTTTTTCAGTCGAACCTGGTCTGTCTGACAGAGTGGGGAAAATAGCTTAGCATGTCTGTAATGCTGAAGGGAAACCCACTAAGACGCAGGTAAAAATCAGGTATATTAGGAAGACCACAAATATAGAGGTATGAAGGATGTCTCCAAAGTTCTGCGGATGTACTATAGAATATCTAGGGACTGAAACTGCTTTCTAGTTCACCACAGGACACTGGAAAGGCCTCACCATTGCTGGAGTCTAATGTCTTGTGATGGACTCTAATGCTTTGTGAGACAGAAATGTAGACAGAGTATGAAATTCAGAGAAGTTAAAGAAAGTAAGTATATGGTGTTTGAAGTTTAGAGAAGTTTGTTATTGTTGTTTTTCTCCCCATTCTTTGCCTTGTCTGGAGTCATGCCAAAGCTTTTCTTTATGAAGACAAACACAAGGAAATGGAGACATGATGTGGGAATCTGTTGGCCTTTACTTTCTGCAGCAGAAAATGGTTCAAATTCTTTGCCTCTAACAGAAAGGGTTTAGATTAGGTTGAAGAAGATTTTGGGGGTTTGATCAGATGATCTCCTGAGTCTTGCAAACCTAATTCTTTTCTGTGTTTTTCTGAGATTTCGTGCTGTTGTTTCCTCCAAGCAAAAGGTGAAGGTATCTTAAAGGAAATGGTCTGCTTGCAGGCTTCAGGCAAAACTGAGGATCAGCCCTTATTTTTTGCAATGTGGTCTTTCATCTTCAGATGGTGACATGTCTATTTTCTTTCTGCTATCTGAGTGGGCAAGGTCAGAGTTTTGTGGTTGAACTAAAATAGATTGTGTGTATAAGGATATCTTTCCAAGTCTTAAAAATCAAAATGACTTTTTTCTTTTTAATCTGTCCTGCCATTGAAAAGTAAATCTCGTCAGAGTTTGTCATATGTTGTTTCCTGTCTTCTAGCCCCCTTGACTTCTAGATTAAAAAAATAAAGAAACTCTGAACAAGAGTATCTTTACCAAATTGCCTTTCCTGAGTTTGAGTTATTTTCAAGAACATGCAGCAATCTATAATACAAACATTTACAGTGTAAGTAAAGACTGAAATGTCCTCACATAACTTGTGCAGAAGCTGTTGGTTAGGAACGTATGTCTCTATGCGCTTAGTCTGCTATTTCAGGGCATGTACAGGGAATGAAGGTGTGATCTGTAAAAAGTTATATTGCAAGGGTGTGCCATCTGCTTAGTTTGAGGAGACAGTTTAGCATATTTGCATAAGCAAACGTTATTTCCTGCAGTGTATATTTACATAAACACAGAGGATTTCATAAATATTCCTCCTTGCCTTCCCTATGCTGCTGCCTTTTTGGAAAGCATAGAAATGGGAAACTTCAGTTTATTTTTAAAAGAAAATGCACGGTTAAAAAAAAGAAAAAAGGACATGTAGTACACAGAATTCCATCCATATCTGTATTGATGAGGTGAAAAACCTCTGAGTTACTGTAGTGAGCTGGAGGTGAGAGGCAGTTTAAACTCTTGATTTCAGGGATTATCCTAGTCCAGGGCCCCAGGTGCTGTGGACTTGGAAGACAGTGTCCTGGAAGTAGGCAGTCTCCTACCTAGCTGTTCAAAAAGGATTTTTTTTTCTTTTATTAAGCTTCCTGAGCTCTGCGAAGGCGGTCAGAAGCCGATGTCCATTTGATCCATCATGGCAGCTCTTAGTTTCTCTTTCTGACCATTATGCAGGCTCCCCGATGACCTTGGTTTGAGGTCATTTAAAAAACAAGAAAAGGAAAAGAAGAAAGAAGATAAATATTAGCATGTCTTTTACTTGCCTTTCTTCTATTTATGCTCCACAGACACTCTTGCAAACAAGTGAACGTCTGGGAATGTCTATGTCAGACCATAAGTCCGTATTGAGCATATTTGCACAAAGTAGAACTTTTAAATGAAAACATTCTTTCTGGAACAGTTGCATTAATACATCCATTGACATATCCAGAGCCCGCCCCTGAGTTTATACTGCTTTGGCTACTAAATACTGCTAGTAATATGCTGGTGAGAAACTATGGGCCAATGTCATTTGGTAGATTGCTTTGAACAGCAATTAGAAGTTATTGACATTAGGGTGCAGAGACAGGGAAAGGCTTAAAGAGAGTGCTCCTTTGAACTGTGCTCTACTACTTTTTTTGTTGGTCAGGAGTGGAACTTGCAGCTCATAAGAGGGCAGGAAGGAGCTCCTATAACTCCTGTTGCTTTGGTGTCTCAGAATTATTTTCCTTCAGTATTTCAACATCCTTTGTTGCTTGGCAGTGAAAGAATGGCAGAGGTCAGCACTTGTAGGGACATGGTCTATTTAACACTCGAACTGTTGTAGCTCATCTATCTGAATCCTACGTTACTTAATTTCAGGATCTGTGTAAAAATGAAACTCTTCTCTCTAGTGCATCAGCAAGCTGCAACAACTTGGTCGCTTCTGTAGATGCAGACTTGCATTGTAACTAACAGCTTGTGTGCTTGCTTGCCGGATATGTTCCTTGCCCACTGGTTTGGCCTGGTGCCCCAACAGGCCCACAGGCAAACACTGTTGCAATGTGGACTGATAATCCCTGAAGGCCCTGAGGCTACACGTGGGTGTGGTGGAGAATGTGGCTAAGCCCCAGAGCATTTCCAGTGTTTTATTTAGCACAGGATGGTGCTCTCTTTATCAATCCAAGGACTCTTTCATATCAAGAGCCCAGTTTATTTTGTTTAATGTTTGCAGCCATGATGGTGCTGCTGCTCAGCTGTGAGTTTGGGACTGGATCTCCACCTGTTCCCATCTTGAGAAAGGAATTTGATTGCTTTTCTTTCAGCTTCCTCTATCTCTGGGGAGGTGAAAGAGCTGAACTGCAAATATTTATCTTTCCTGTTCTAACACTGTTTTTTTTTTTTTTTTTTTTTNTTTTTTTTTTTTTTTTTTTTTTGGTAGTGCTTTGTCTTTATTCAGCAGTCTAACTGTTCTGTCTACTTTGAAATGCAGGACAAAAAGCTCAAGTTCAATGACCTAAAAACCCAAACTCACTGATTTAGCCAGTGAGTGCAAAGATGCACATGACCTGAACTTGGCAATGAGAAGAAATGTGTGGAGCAGAAGTCTCTAAACCTGTCTCTGCTTCAGCTCCACAGAAGAAAAGGCAAATGGGTGGTTATTGCTGATAAATATCATGCAAGATTTGACTGTCAAAGAGAATATTTGGTACATGAAAAGATCGAGTCTGGATCCAGTTCCAGCAGTCTGGATCCAGTTCCAGCAGTAACCTGCCTTCAGATTTCTGCAGGAGGCAAGGATTTCTGCTTGGAGGACACTGATGAAACGGAGACCGTGGTCCTATTTGTGTGCAAAGGAGGGGAAGAGAAACAGGACTAGTTTTCTGCAGGATTGGAAACAGTCTGGTGAAAACAAATCTCTCAGCAGTGTTGTCATTGTAGGAGAGAGTGCAATGAGATGGACTCTCTTATTGCCCAGACAAAGCTTCCTCCTCATCTCTTTATTGCTAAGTGAGGAAGGGTTGGTATTGAGGAAGTTCAAAGGGTTTTTACTCTTGTATAAGCGATTTTTAAATTAAAAATTTTTGCTTTTTAGCTGAAATTCCTCTTGTCTTTACATGCAGCGCTAGTAGATTTTTATGTCAATGCTGGAAAGGGGTGTGTGAGATCAATGGTGGCTTTGTGTGGCAGGGAGAGGTTCTTTTGTCAGAACTGCTTGTTCTTAAAATTTTGGAGGGGAATGGAGAGAGTAGGTGATTTCAACTAGATAAAACGTCTTTCCCCCTTTAACCGCCCCCCTTCTGCCTTTTGCCCTCTGCTCTGGAAGTTGCTGGAGTTGATATCATGAAGGGAAAACAATTCTTGACTTTCAAAGGGAAAGATGGGACTGTTAACATAACCTCAGTAATGAATTCATTAAATCTGTTACATTGCATGGTCAATCACAGAATCACAGAATCACAGAACGGTTAAGATTGGAAGGGGCCTCTAGAGATCCTCTAGTCCAACCCCGCTCTGCTCTAGTCAGAACACCTGGAACAAATGGCACAAGGTCACGTTCAGGCGAGGGTGAGGAAAAGGGTGTGATTCTGGATTAGAGTTGCTGCGACCATGAGCTTCTACAAATGTCCTCTGGATGTGGATAACCAGTTCACTGATAAGCCCTGCTTATCCTGTGGATATTTTCAGCACCTACATCAGACTAGTGAAGAAAATAGTCTCCCAGCTAGGCTTGGAGCAGTCTCCTTTTCTGTCTTTTACTGACACCTGTCTGTACTCTTGTTTCCACAGGTAGATGCGGTGCGGGTGTCTGTGAACAGCAGTTCTGAGAACCTCCAGTATCCTGTCTTGTTTGTAGTTCGACAACAGAAGGGGGTGCTGTCATGGCAGGTTCCACTAATTTTTCGAGGCCTGTAAGTATTGGAGTTTTTACCTCATGATACAGTGGTTTTTGAGCTGTGTCCAGCATTAGCTTTTCTCTGATACTAAGTCTTGTGACTTGTGCAGATTACAGGGCTTGATTGTAAAGCATACTTGATGAGTCTCAGCTGAACATAGGAGGACCTGGATTTGGTAGATAGCATCTTACTTGTCAGCCTGCTCTCATGTCTTTTTTTTTCTTAATTATATATACAATGTACAAGAAGGCTTGTCCGTGGTGGATCTAACTGTGTCACTAGGCAGTAAGTGTACCAAATGGCATGGTGTGTGGCATGGTGTATGTAAGTAGTTCTTGTTATTTAGTTTTAACCAGCTCTCAGAAGAGATATTTAGATCTTTTTTTCATCTTGGGAAAATGATGCTGCTGTGCATCAAACATGGATTTCACCAAATCAATGTTTCACCAAACATGGATCTAGGCGTGCTGCAAGTACTGAGACTTTGCAGACATCTTAAAATATGAAAAATTTGGTTTGAAGCTTTGCCTTGTGATTGAAATTCTAGAGCTGGGTAGCAGATGCTTTGTGGGGTCTTGTGTGTTGCAGGTGATGGCTAAAAAGTAGCTGCTGTTCTGGACTGTTATTGTCCTCTCTGACAGCAGCAAGTCAGAGAGCACTAGAGTCATTTGCACTAGATCTTGCAGATGGCATGGTCAATGTGTAAGGAAGCAAAATGTTGAAGACTACCAGACCCATGTGCAGATTTCAAGAAGCAACAGGAGAGTGGAGAGTGAGCTAGGAATAAAAGATGGAATGATTGTAGCTTCTCATGTGCAGGTGGGGTAAAAATCTGGTCTTTCCTTGACCTACAACCTTTTTAACCACTGTTTGTTTTCTGTCCATCTTCTTCTTCCCGCCTGCCCCCATCTGTTATAGCTATCAGAGGACCTACAACTACCAAGAAGTCAGTCGGACTCTCTGCCCTTCTGAGCCAACACCTGAGGCAGGACACTCCGACCAGATTATATTTGTGGATGTTGCTTCCATGGCACCGTTTGATATTGCATATGAACTACTAGTCACTAGGCTCAACAACTTCCAACTTGAGTAAGCTGGCAATGGGTGAATGCAAATTTAATTGCTTTGTATATTTGTTATAGAGGATTTAGGCCCATCTAGCTTTTTTTTTTCCCCCTCTCTGATAATGCCCTGAGATTATTTAGTTTTTCTGATGCTTAACCTGAAGGCACCATGTGTATATCCCCAAACTGAAAGTTTTAGGGAGACTTCATTCTGAAATTTCTTTTCCAGGACGGACAAAGCTTTTAGCTTCACTGCCAGCCCTTCCCAGCCCCAGGTAAGGAGTGCTGCATGCAGTTGCTTGTGGTTGCTCGTATATCTTGTCATATCCAAATAGTTCCTGTTAGAGTTATCAAAAGCCTTAGAACTTTTTCTCTCTTGAAGTGCAAGAAAATGTCCTTATTCTTTCATTTCTTTGGATGTAGTGAGTAGGTAGCCATGCCTCTGTCCCCGTTTGGGCCTCTTGTGAAGCAATTAAACACTTCATTAAGAAGAAGAAACAGAAAAAAAAAAAAAAAGTGTGACCAGAGCAAATATATGTTATTTGCAGTGCAGGAAACTCCAGAAATGTATGGAAATCCAAAAAGCATTGGACTACTGCACTTCATGGGAAATTAAATAGTGTGCACCAAATGTTTTATTCCAGCTAGCACTGACTCAGTTGCTCTAGCTGATATGCCAAAATGCAGTCCTTCACTGCAAAAAAACAGCTCTAAAATTACGTCAGAACTCACAATGCTATTTGTAGATCATGGAAGCAAGTCAAGATGCTAGCAGATAAATGAAGTGTCTAGGTCAGTAGGATCTAGTTTAGCAGGGTGCACGCACATACAATACATCTTGCCCAGAGCTTTGTAGGTACTACAAGTCCTCTCTTCATTGAAAATGCCATTGGTACTAGCTGAAGTGGTACAGGAGACCACAGAAGTGGAAAAATATGTAATTTAATCAGGCTGTCAGGCTGTTTTTGTTAAAATCACCATTAATTACACCACTTACTTCTAGGCTCCTTTATATTAACAGGTATTCTGCTATCAAATATCTTATGGTGATTTACATACAATATTTTATATGATAAAAGCATGTGGAGTAATGGTGGTTGTTTGCAGGTGGTTCTTTATAAATCCTCATTAATTAGGATCTTTTTAATTTCAGTGTAGAATGCTGGAATTCAGTGCAGAATGCTGGAATATGGCCTGGAATTAATTTTGATTTCAGTCTGTCATAATTTGTATGGTGAGGTGGGTGACTTAATCATAGGCTAGATATATACAGTGCAAAATTAGTGTATCTTAATTGATATAATGCTGTATTTTTTTGTAAACCAAATAAACTTCTAAGCAGTTTGGAGAGGAAAATAAAACAAACAAATAAAACACTTAAAAATCTAAATAATTTTTGGAATAATGCTAAGACCAAAGAAAGGACAAATGTAACAACTGAAGGAATTGTCACTAAGAATCCAGCTCCTGCCTAAGCATGGGAAAAGAAATTAAATATGCTCATAAAGGTCAGGATGTTATCTTGATGTGTTTGTACCACTTAGTGGCTGTGCTTTAGAGAACTGTAGGTCTCCATAGCCTTTGTGTTAATTCTGTACCACTGTGTAAGCTTGAGGAAAACCATAGAAGGGCCGTCATGGGTGATGTCCTTAAAGACCTAAAGCTTTTCAAGGGTAGCATACCTTGATGACCAGGGAGCTCAGACCGCTGGAGCCAGTGTGTGGCTGGGATAAAAAAGTGTTCTACTGAAGAAACCAATTTTGTGAGTTTTCAGATTGAGGACTGAGATTATTAAAATGATTGAGGTCAAGGCCAGTGTTTCCTTAAAATAAAGGGACCCCTAGTTGGAAGGGGATGGTGGAAATAGCTGCTTTTTAGCAGAAAAGGCCAAACTTGGGAAAACCCTGGGTGATTTTTGGCTTATCTCCAACCTTCTAATGTGGGGATCTAATTCATGGAGAGGGGACGAGAGCAGGGAAATTAGAAATGCCTGACCCTTACTGTTCACGGACACATATGTGGCCTAAAGAGAGGTTACCAGCTGGGAATATTTCTTTGGGAGTAGGAGCCAAGACAGGCTACGGATTTTTGTGTTCTGCAGGGAGCAGGAGCTCTGAGGGGGCTGAGGAGACCATAAGGGAGAGTGGGCTGGGTTGGAGCAGCCCTTGCAGCAAGCTGCCTGGAGATGCAGGCACAGGAAGCCTGTCCACTTCAACAGCTGGCTTCCATTTCAAACCCAGTACAGTAAGCTTCCAGCAGAAAATATGCAAATATTCCCTCTGTGGTCCTCTGCCTGAATTTGAAAAACCATTGCTGGGGCAGGGAAGAGTGTTTCCTGATCCCACCAACTTCCCTCTGGGCTGCCCCCTAAGAGAAGAGAAGTGGGAATATCATAGACATTATTGTCTTCCAAAATCTTTCAGAGAAATAGCTGAACTATTTTCAAAGCTGAAAGAAGGCAAACTTTTTCCCCCAAATCCTGCAAAAGTAGAAAATATTTATATAATGATGTAACTCTGTAAAGAGTTTGGACTTTTGACCTAATGTTTTTTCACAGTTGCTCTTTGAGCAAACCCACCTGCAGTAAAATCCAACAAGCCCTTTATGTTACATATAGTTAGTAGTGTGGAAACACTTGGCAGTTCTTCATTGCAACTTAAATTGGAGTATATCATAAAATGAGTTTAACTTGATGAGGTGGAAAAAAGCTTAAGAGGAGCAGAAGTTAGGGTGCTACTTGCATGTCATCTGTGTGGGGATGAGGCTTGTCTTTACCTTTTTCATTGGCTCTTTTGTAGTGTAAGGTCTTAATATTTGAAATCTGAGTCTTTTAGAGCCCTCCAATTCCGACCTCAAAGTCTAGATTAGATATGGGGCTGTGCCAGGGAAGACTCTGAAGCCAATGGCAGGAAGGATTCTTGACTGCAACTCTCAGGATCCTGCTCTGTTTCTAGTATTTCCTATACAGGTTCCCTCAAGATGTGGATTCGGTCATCGTCAAAGTGGTGTCTGACGTAGTCTACCCCTGCTCAGTTGTCTCCATCCAGGATATTGTGGTAAGTCTAAGGGACGGAGTGCAAGGACCTGGCTCCTTACTGGGGCTCTACCCTCCTGCAAAAGCTCAGCAGATCTGGCAAAATCCCAGCAGAGAGAGAACCTCAGAAGGCCTTCACCCTACCAGAGAAGCAAGGAAGGGAGGACTTGAAGAAGGAATGAAAGTCCTATGGGAAAAAGGCAAAGACTAATGCTGAGTTCAAGCAGGCCACCCAGACTTTTGTGTTTTGTTTTGTTTTGTGCTTTTTTTGTAAATAAGTGAGAAAGCTGTTCCTGCCCATTCTATTAGTAGGGGACTTATGATCACGTCCACTTCTTCATGTTTGACACCCAACTGTCTTGTGACATGGGGCTCTCTCTCTCCTGGGAGGACAGACTGGAAGCTGCAACTGAAAGAAGAGATGTGACTGTTTCATTCATTCTCACTCCAGCTCAAGGCAAAAAGGAGAAGTTCTGAATTCTAAGCATGAAGCTTTCCTCCTTTCTATTTCAGTTTTCTCCTTCTGCCTTTCACAGTTGCTGGTGGAAAGTTCCTTTATTGGAAAGGGGGAATGGCTGCTGCCTGTGAGAATCATTGACTGTAGCTCACATCTGGCAAAGAGTGCCACTTTCCTCATTTTCCATGTCACTGAATAAGAGACCTGTAGTATGGGGACAGCAAGATGGGGACAGAGGTGGAAGATGCTGTGGCTGCTGCCTGTGGAGTTCTTGCTGTGACCTTTAAGGGAAATGAGTAACATCAAATGAGAGCATTTCATGGGTTCTGTCTTTTTTTCATTCACCTGTGCAGAAAAAGGACTTCCCAGGTGAGCAGTTCTTTGTTGTGTTTGTCATCAAGCCAGAGGACTATGCCTGTGGGGGTTCTGTGCCTTCTTCTATCCATGGTAAGTTGGGTTAGGAGTCAGGCTTGGCTCTTGCATGTGTGTGATAGAACCAGGAATACATGGTGGCCTACCTGTGGGATGACATTACATAGTTATACAACTTTATGTCATCTGGGTAGACCCAAGAAGGCCAAAATACATATTTTATGTTATGTCTGGTAGGTTAACAAATCTATCCATTATAGTCCTTTGTCATTGTCTCCTGCCCATAACCTCTCCACCTTTTATCTTGAGATTAAAGAAAGCTCCATGCTTGAGGGAGGGTAAAACTTGTTAGCGTAATTTTACAAGAGACTGATGCCTTTCCAAGCCAGAAAGCTTGTGTCTTCCTCCTGGGTAGTGGCCAGGGAAAGGGCTCCACTACTGCTGTGATAGCTGAAAATGGAGTAGGGATGTAGCTGTTCCCATAGCACACCAGAGCTCACTTCAAATTAGGGATATGCTCAAAGCCAATGACTTCCTCCCTGTAGAAGAAATGAGATTGCAACAGATTTTCTGGGCTCCCACCCACCACTAATTTCTGTCACCTTTGGGTGTATTTATCTTGTCCTATCACAGTCTGCAGAGTGTATTAAGTAGCACTGAAAAATAACAAAAAGATAGTGTGGTATATATAAGAGGGATGGGAAGGAGAGTTTAGGTCAAGAGAAGAGGACAAAGATAGTGCCCTAATATTTGCAAGGGGAGAAACTGCCCTTCTGGGGATTGGATGAAAAGGTTATACTTTGCATTCAGATATATAAACTTGAACAATATATGGAAGGCTTAATCAGAATGCTTCTAGCTAAAAAAAAAAAAAAAGAATTTTGCAAGTGCAGAGAACTGAAGACAGGACCAGAGATGACTAATGTTTGTCTTTTTTACATTTTCTGTATGCTTTGCATCTGACAGGAAACCGTACCTGGAACCTCCAACGAACAAAGAACCTTCAAGTCACAGTTGTGCCCTCCATTAAAAGTTAGTGTCTCCTTGCTGAGCAATGTGGCATTTGGGGGGAACTTGGCACTTAGGCGCAGGAGGGCATGGCTGAGGAGTCAACCCCATGAAAGGACGGTGAAGAAACTAGTGAAGCCCTGGTGTCTTCTAGGAAGTCCTGTATGGGATGGTATCATTGGCACACTAGCGAGTCTTAGAGGCAAAGAGATGGTGGGAGACCTTGCAACATGTTCTGATAACTCTTGGTGAATAATGTAGACGGGACTGGTAGGTTGCTTGGGGCAAGAGGTTGGCGCTGGTTAGTACTGCGAAGAGTGGGATGGGAGTGGTCCCACTGGGAGTGGTCCCACAGGGAGGGAGCAGGCCCATTGAGAGCCTGCCCATTCCCTGTGAACTGATAGCTGCCTTTTCTCTAGAGTCTATTTATGTGCAAGCCATGTTCTTCAGCTTCCTGAGCTTCCTCTCCTTTTACCTGGGCTCAGTGGTTGTTGCTTTCGTTCACTATATCAGGTGAGTCAAGAGTTTTTACAAAAAGAACTATCCAACTTTTTTTGTTTTATTCCTCTGAGCCTCCCTCATCCTTTAATCGTTTAAGTCTCCCTCTGCAGTACATCCAGGGAGGTGGCTACAAACATTTGAATCAAGTAGGGCAACCAAGCAGGAGACTTTGGTGCAGGGTCAGCCAGTAAACTTATTATTATTTTGTCCCTGTAGGGATCATGGTGCTGAGAAACCAAGGCTTTTCTCTCTCTTTTTTTTTGGTGTCTCCAGTCCCTGGGTTTTCCAATACAGGGACACAGGGTTGCAGCTGGGAGTTGTAATATGGCCAGTCTGAAATATAGAATGGCAGGGCTTTGGGGAACCAAGGAGTTCCGGAGCGCAAGACCAAGTACTAGGTGGAATAGGGCCTTGGAGTCCCAAGGTGATCCTGGGCCCAACTACCATGACAGGTTGCCCACAGAGAAAGAAAGCAGCTCTTCTACCTGCCCCAGGGTCCCCTCTAGGACATTGGTTATAGCCTAAGCCTTCTTGAAAGAGAGCAGGACTGGAGAAGCAGAGGAAGGCCAGCAGCCCAGTGGGAAGGTGAGAGTTGTCTTCTTGCGACAGGTAACTGCTAACAAGCAATGAACCTTAGTGGAGAAGGAAGACAGTGCCTGTAAGGTGGTAGGGAAAGGAGGGGCTTGGGGGAAATAGTCCTTGCAGAATGTATAGGCAGTGTCTCTGGTTAAAGTATATCCTTTGTGTGAAAGTACAGAGGCTCAGTAAGTAGGACTTTCCCATTACAGTCCTCCCTGGCTTACAGGGCAGAGGTTGGCATCAGCTGGATAGGTTCTCATCTAGACTCATGGAGAACTTTCATCAAATAGCAGATGAGTTTTGCAGATAAGGATTTTTTTTCTCCTTACCTTTCCCACCAACAATGAAGGTATAGACACCTTGGGTATCACAGTGACACAGGGCTCCAGCCCTACTGTCCCTTCCATGGATTCTTATGTTTGCAGTTCCCAGAATGGGAGAGACAGGTTTGGGAACAAAGTTTTAGAGTCTTTCATAGCACACTGAACAGTGTTGGGCAGGTCATGTCACTGGTTGTCCTGTCTCTGATGGTTGATTGAGGAAAAAAAAGACTTCGCTTCTGCTTGGAAATTAAAGAGGTTGCTTTAGAAATTAGGGAGGTAGAGGAGAAGCAGTCATGTCTGAGACATGCAAAGTTGCAACAGATTTTTTTAGGACTTGCACTGTGTAGACCTGTTGGTGTTCTAGGTGCCTCTGTCAAAACTGGCAAATGGTAGGGTTTGTTGGGTATCTCATGAGTGCTGTCTGTTCCTTTTTAGGGTTCGGCAAAAGGCTTCAACTGGCAAATACAGTCCTGATGATGGTAAGTCTTTATTATTATTATTATTATTAGTAGTAGTAGTAGTAGTAGTAGTAGTATTTTTATTTTTATTATATGACAGCTTTAAGTGAATGGTATGGCTCCCAGGCTGAGCAATGGAGATGCAAGTCAAGTACCTTCTATCCCTTCAACCCTTCATCCTTTCTTGTATGTGTACCACATGGTCTCTGACACTGGTGGAAGATGCTAGGACTTCCTCTCTGCCCTCATGAGAGAGGCTACATGGAGCAGACTCCCACAAACTTGGTCTTAACTCCCTCTCCAAAGAGTTGGCTTTCTGTGGGGATGGAGGAAAGCCAGGCCTTGACAAGAACGATTACAAACTGATGTTCCTGCTGCTGGATTTGTTCCCTTCTGAACAAGGAACTTCAATTTTCTGACAGCTTTTTTATTCTTTATGATTTCCCCTGCTTAGTTTAAGCATGGAGTTGCTTTTACTTTTTCTTTTGTTTGTTTCCTTTATTGTTTCTTTAAATTAAATTTTGATTGGTCTTTAATGGTGAGTTTCAGACAACAAAGCAAATGAATGACTAATACAATAAAGTAGTGCTACTTGTCTTATTTACTTTGGTATTGGATTCCATTTACTTTATGCTGCGCACACATTTCAGTGTTACAAAACATAAATGCATTTAAAAAGCTCTCAGGAAAGATGGACATTTTGGCATGTGGAGGGGTAGGGAGTACCTGAGATTTCTGCTTTCTGAGGATGTGTGGGAGGCTGGCTGTTTATTTAGTGCCTGAAAACTAGTTTAAAGCATTGGTTTGAGAATAAGAAGCATCATCATTTGTATTTCTCTTCTGGGGGTAGAAAGTTATGTTTTGGCAGCAAGAAGAGGTTAGAGGAACATTTTTTTTTTTTTTTTTTTGTTGCTTTTTGTTGTTGTAGGTTTATTTGTTTTTGTCCCAGCTTCTTCAGTTTCCCTTGTTGGCTGCTTCTCAATAGATAAGAGTACTAACATAACTGAACTCAGCTTAAAGTATCTGCAGTATAACTTGGCAGTAACTGAGTTAATACTTCTGTCAAATGACTGAGGATCTTTGGCCTCTCAGAGTGGCTTTTTAAAGCAGATTGAGAGGCACGTGCTATGTCTAAATATACATATACATATAACTACACATTTGTGTGTTATGTCTCATGTGTGTTTGAAATGGTTTTCTTCACAATCAAGCAAGCAGGAATTTATAAATTGTGTTTAAAATACTCTGAGTTGGTGGAGATCTGGCTGCAAAACCACAGCAGGACTCTGGGTGCTGGAGTCAGCAGTGAAAATGGAAATGACCTTTACACTGTGGAGGTTGGAGAGATGAAAGAATTGAATTAGGGGCCTGGAGGAGCCCAAGTTGATGCCAAAGGGTCACTGTAAACCCAAGAGGCATGGTCTCAGCAGGGTGATGGAGCTGCCCTGGGATGAGAAGCCTAGGGTCAGCCACTCCTGGTGGTATCCTGGAGGATGCAAGTTCTGCTGGTGACTGAGAAGCTGTTTTCCAGGCTGCCCTCGCAATAGGTGGAAATTAAATCCTGGTAATTGAGGTCTTCAGAGACCTCAGGAGGTCACCTGCAGGAGGTGCTGAGCTGAGCCCAGAGCAGGTGACTGGAAAGCTGCATTCCTGGGGAGGGAAGGTCACAAGAGAGCATCCCAAAGAAAGGATAGAGAAATTGGATACCTTCACCTGCTGTGTTTTTCCTCCCAAATATGTGGGCCTCTCCCTCTTCATTGCCCAACATTGCCTGGCTATCTGTCACAGCCCCATCTCTTCCTCTGTGAAGAAACCATGTCCTACCCATGTGCTCTTGAGAGTGTTTCTGATGTTGAAAAAGAAAGTGTTAACTATGTTTTTTCCTGTCCTGCCGATCACCCGCTGCATGTTGGTTTTCTCAATACTTTCTCCCCACCCACTGGAATTTCTCTTCCTTGAAAGTGACTCTGGCTCTCCTCTTTCCTTTTACTCCACTATTCTTTCCCTTGCTCTGAAAAAAAAATAAAAATTAAAAAAAAAATAAAAAAGCAGACAACAGAGATGCTTGTAAAACTCTCTCTCTGTGATCTCCAACATTGCTTTGAGTCCTGTGTGCCCCATTGCTCCTGTCACCTATATTATTTCCTATATATATTTCAGAATATTTCAGAATATTTCAGAATATTTAAGGTTGGAAGGGACCTCTACAGATCATCTAGTCCAACCTTCCTGCTCAAGCAGGCACACCTASAGCAYGTGGCACAGGGTGGCATCCAGGCGGGTTTTGAAGACCTCCAGAGAAGGAGACTCCACAACCTCCCTGGGCAGCCTGTTCCACTGCTCTGTCACCCTAACAGTAAAGAAGTTCCTCCTCACCTGGAGACGGAACTTCCTGTGTTCCAGCTTGTGTCCATTACCCCTCGTCCTATCGCTGGCCACCAGTGAGAACAGCCTGTCCCCTTCCTCCCTGCATTCTCCCTTCCTGAACTTATACATATTAATCATATCCCCTCTGAGCCGYCTCTTCTCCAGAGAAAACAGAAAAAATTTCCTTCCTCATTCTTTCTTCCTTCCCTGGGGGACATCTTGACACCTCCCATTCCACATCATAATTATTCAAAGGAGAGAAAAACTGTGGAAGAACCACACCTAGGTCACCATGTAGCCCAGCATTTGCTTTGGTGACTCACCCACATGCTGGGAAATGTAACCAAAATCAGTGACTGAGTTGGAGACTGCAGTGACTATTAGAGCCAGTGCAGAACACTTCATCTCGCTGGCATGTTTCCTTTGTGGCTACTGCTTGATTTGGAGAGAAAGATGATGTGGACATCTTTGCCCACATCCACCATCCTCACAGATGTATAGATGAGGGCAGAGTGGTGAATGTCGTCTATCTGAACTTTAGCAAAGCTTTTGACACCGTCCCTCACAACATCCTCCTGAGCAAGCTTCGGAAGTGTGAGATAGATGAGCAGACAGATGGATTAGAAACTTGTTGCATGGCAAAGCTCAGAGGGTGGTGATCAGTGGTGCAGAGTCCAGTTGGAGGCCTGTGGTAAGCGGTGTCCCCAAGGGGTCAGTCCTCAGTTCGGTCCTGTTAAACTTATTCCTAAATGACCTGGATGAAGGGATGGAATGCTCCCTCAGCAAGTTTGCTGATGATACAAAACTGGGAGGCGTAGCTGATAGCCCTGAGGGCTGTACTGCTGTCCAGAGAGACTGGGACAGACCGGACAACTGGGCAGTGAGAAATCTCATGAAGTTCAATAAGGGAAAGTGCAGGGTCCTGCACTTGGGAAGGAATAACTCCAGACACCAGCACAGGCTGGGAACTGACCTTCTGGAGAGCAGCACCTCCAAGAGGGACCTGGACATCATGGTGGACAACAAATCGACCATGAGGCAGCAGGGTGCCCTCGTGGCCAAAGCCAACCGGATCCTGGGGTGCATTAAGAAGAACATCTCCAGGAGGTTGAGGGAGGTGATTGTCCCCCTGTACACAGCCCTGGTGAGGCCACATCTGGAGTACTGTGTCCAATTCTGGGCTCCCCAGTACAAGAGAGTTGTGGAGCTGCTGAAGAGAGTCCAGCACAGGGCTTTGAGGATGATCAGGGGCCTGGAACACCTGCCCTATAAGGAAAGGCTGAGCGAGCTGGGCCTGTTCGGCATGAAGAAGAGAAGGCTAGGGGGGGACCTGATCAGTGTCTATAAATGCCTCAAGGGAGAGAGTGAGGAGGATGGGGCTGGCCTCTTTTCAGTGGTGGCCACTGATAGGACTAGAAGAAATGGCCACAAATGGATGTACCTAAAGTTCCACAGGTACGTGAGGAAAAAATTCTTGACAGTGAGGGTGACAGAGCACTAGAACAGGCTGCCCAGAGAGGTTGTGGAGTCTCCTTCTTTGGAGATCTTTAAAACCTGCTTGGATGCAATCCTGTGCCACATGCACTAGGCAACCCTGCGTGTGCAGAAGGGTTGGACTAGATGACCTCTGGAGGTCCCTTCCAACCTCAAGCATTGTATTAGTCTATGATTCTATGTCATTTGAGTGTGCGTGCCTCAGTGTCATGAACACGAGGAAACATTTCTCTTGCACTCTTCCTGGTTATCATGATTTCCAAACAACTTTAAAGCAGCAGGGGTAAAAATCTACCATGAGAGAGGGAACATTGCATGGCAGATGATGAGCAGATGGTGCATCAGAATTGAACCTTGTACCTACCAGATAGCTTGTTCCTGCAGCAGTCTGCAACAAGAGCGCTGCTAGTGCTGTTTCAGGGCTAAAGAAGTTTCTTGCAGAGGAGAGCCTTGCCTTGGCTGATGATCAATGCTGTTTTGTCTACTTCAAATGCTCCTATGATATTCTTTCAGTTTTCTTTGCCTTACCACTCTGGGAGGGCAGAGGACACCAGATCCAAGGCCACAGCCAAACAAGCACAATGAATGTGTCAGAGGATAGAGCAAACAGGACTTAGTGTCAAATATCCTTGCTGTGTGGGACTGCCCACATTGTCAGCATTGTCAGGAAGATCTGCCTATGCTCATTGCTTTGGGATGGGTGGGGCATTGGCCAGCCAGAAGAACTTGGAAAGATGTGGGGGATTGTCAGGCTACAGTAATGATGAGTATGTTTATGTACTGACTGGCTAGTTGGACCTCTGTCAGGCTAGATATATTTCATCTTCCCTCTGCCTCTCTGCCATATACTAGCTGCACAATATCGTGACAAGGGTGAAGCTTTAAGAGCAGCATTTCCTCTCTTGCCATTTGCCATCACTAGAAGACAGGATGTTGTCCCAGTGTGTCTTGCTCTCTGCCTTTCAGGGAATAGCATGCTTGACAACCTGTCTGTGACTTTTCCAGGGATAACTTGAGGGAGGTAGTGACAGGTGACTAGATCCTCACTTGGAGGGAGAGGGAGGAAAAGAATTAGAAAATTCATACGAGTGCTGCAAATATGAGATTTGTCCTAGAGTTTGCTATGCCTTGCAGTCCTGCAAGCATATGCAGGGGGATTGGACTAGAAGATCTCTAGAGGTCCTTTCCAAACTTAACTATTTGTGATTAGTACATCCTGAGTGTGCAGGGGACTTCCAGCCTTATAAGGAGCTACTTTAGCCCAGTCTTCCAGGTTAAGGGGAGTGGAGGGAGAATCAAGGTCCAGCCAGGGAAGTCGGTCAGGTGTCATTCTCGATCCCAGCTCAACTCATCAGTGCTAGACTCTGTCTTCTGTACTCTTAGGGAAGGAGTATGTGACTGTGCTATAATTATCCTTATAAGGAGATCCTTCCAGAATCTTCAGGTGAGTTCCAAAAGATTATCTGCTCTTTATACCGTTAGTGAGATGGATTTCAATCCCTTATTGGATGTTTTGCAAATGTATCAGTTCTTTAGCCAGTTGGGTACTGTTTGCAATTTTTAGCAAAACAAAACTGCTGTACCTTCACAAGGCTTCCAACTTCCCTATCTTGTTTTTAGGGATAGTACCCAAGGTTTCTCTATCACTTTTCTGGCACATTGACAGAGTTTGTTCAATTTGGCAGTTTCAGTTGTTAACTCTTTGCTTGCCCATCAGGAAACATTTGCTTTGCAGTATACTCTAGTGGGAGGTAGAGTGCCTCCTTGGTCTTTTCTCACTGACTTAAGGCTAACTAGCTCTTATGGGTCTATTTCCATTGCAGGATCTGGGATAATGACCTCTTCACATCCTATTACAGCCAGTACTTCTGAGGGAAGCAGCTATGGTGCTATTGGTACAGTATCTTCCATACCTAGGGGCAGGGAAGTGGGGACTGTATCTGGGACAAGATTACGCTCAGATTTAGTGCTTTAAGACCCGAAGGGACTGAAGATACAAGCTAGTCTAACAACAGGACAAAAAGAAACTGTAGCTTAGGAGATTCGAGCAGTATAGTAGGAAATAATTTTGCACCAAAAAAGCAGCACAACTCTGGAACATACTCTAGTCTCAGCTAGACAAAGCCACAGTCCTGCTTCTAGCAAGGGGTTGAACTACATTGCCAAATATCCTCCCAAGCTAGCCTCCAAGAGTCTGCCATTAGCTCATTAAGCCTCTGTAGTCTTCCAAAGAAGGAAATGCTCTGGACTGTGTGCCACAAGGCACGAGAGAGATGGAAGTTCTTTCTCTGGAGGCTTCATTAGGTGAGCAATAATTGTCAAAAGATAAACTATGCCCTGGGCAGCAGAGGAAACAAAGCTCTCTAGAATGCTGCTATATTGAGATTATGGAAAATTCCTTCCTTTGCCAAAGTATTTCTTGATCTCTTTGCAAGTGTTGCTCCTGTCGAAGGGCAGGTCCTGATCAGCTCAATGCTGAGGGACTTCTTGGACAAAGCTCTTGGATTTGGCAGAATTGGGACTCAGGTGCAGGTGATGTGGTGCTAGTCAGAGTTGCTCAGATGAGGGCAGTAGCTCTGTAATTTTTAGTCCTTGCTTAGGTTACGTTTGCTCTCCTTGCTGTAAAGATACCCTGACATCTCAGATGCTGCCCTGTTGTAGAACTGTGAAGTTGCAGTACCTCCAAACACCTGGTAGAGAAATTCAGAACTGAGGCTTTATGGCCTCCGAGAAAATTCAGGAGGAATTTGATCTTGGAACAGAGTTGAGGGCTGCAAGCTTTTTTCAAGAGTATGCTTTAAAAGCATTTGGAAGATTAAACTTAAGTGTTCTGCTCAAATAATCTGAGCAGTAGGCTTGCAGGGAATTCATCAAATTCCTGCTGTGTGAATTCCTACCTATACTGGACGTTAGTACAGGCAATCCCAATAACCTGCAGGTGAGCAGTACTATACATTTGGGGAGGCAAAGCAGATCTTCTGCCTCTGAAAGTCCAGCTTCTTTCTTCCAGTCTGTTACATGTTTTCAGAAAAGCTTACACACAAAGATTATACAAAAACTGCCTGACAACGTGTGTCTGACTCCCACACTGTTGTTTCAGTAGGACTTTCTGGCTTGTTTTGGACTTCCAGATTTCAGAGTCCAGGCTAATAAAGAGTAGAAAAAGTTACAGAGATAAAAAGCAGAGGAAACGCTGGGACAAAGAGAATGCTGGGGTAAGGGGCAGAATGGATAAGGAAAGAATTGTGACTTATTTCTAGCATTCAGAGATTTTGGGAAGTGCTGTGATCATGGGACAATTTGTTTCCCTGAAATGGCCTTCCCCGCTTTTCATAGCAGAGAAGGGTTATTTCCTTGATGCTGTCCATAGAGAGATTTAGTCTTTGACCAATTCCTTCTCTCCACTCTACTCCAGATGAGTCAAGCTCCAATGGTGGAGAGCAGTTGTCTTCCCTCGAGCGAGGGCCGCAAGATGATTCTGACACTGACAGCTCTGTTGAGGAAGAGAGCGACTTCGACACCATGCCAGAAATTGACAGTGATAAGAATGTCATCCGCACTAAGGTAAGTTGCCATTGCAGCCACGGTTGTGATGCTGGGCAATGGACAAAGCTGGACCAGTACCAGCACTATTTACTTACCAGGTTTTTTAAGTTTCCATTCCTTCTTTGAAGGATTTCCTGTAACAAAAATAAATGTATTTTGAGTGTTATTCCACAGTCTAGAAAGTCTTTGTCATGGTGCTCTACTAAAATGAGTGATTTAATTTTTCTCTCTTTCACATACTACTAATGCTTTAGGTGTTCCTCTATTTGTCAGACTTGTCCAGGAAGGACCGAAGGATTGTCAGCAAAAAATACAAAATTTATTTCTGGTAAGGCGATGATAACTTGAATAACGCTACAGTTCAGTGCTAAGTTTTTGGTTGTGGACTCTTCATTTGTGTCCACATGCTCTTATTTTCAAAAATGCTTGAGGCTTGAGCATTTAGGCTTGATTTTTCAAAAACGCTTTAGGCTTGAGGATTTTTTTGAGCCATCCTGTTATGCACTCTGCCCCTGGCTCTGTTCCAACCACTAGCTGCAGGTCTCACATACTTCAAGTGAGGGTATTTGTGGACCAGTTCAAACAGATCGAATGAAACGAGATGAAAACTCACTTGTGTTAACAGCTCTAAAGTACAATAATGACCATTGTACTGGAACACACTGAGGAAGGTGGAATTGTCATTTAAACACATATGCGTGTGATCCACGTGCTAGCTTTTTTGTGCCCTTTAGCACTTGCTTTTTGTTGGAGAGTATTAGCATGTTTGCTCTTCTGCTCCAGAATATTGCAACTGAGCTGGCATAAAGCTCTGACTGGAAGGTTTGTTGGGAGAGAAGGATCTGTGCTCTTAGGCATGGGGTTGTATGTGCGAGCTCCGCAAGCACAATGGGGCTCTGTGTTGGGCGTGTGGTGGTTATGCTGTTGTGTGTAATTGCTGCTGTTGTCTCCTCCCTGCAGGAACATCATCACTATAGCAGTGTTTTATGCCCTGCCAGTAGTCCAGCTCGTCATCACCTACCAGACGGTGCGTCAGCCTCTGCGTGGCTGTCCCCTGAGTCAGCCTGGTCTTCTTGCCTTTAAGCCTGCTCTGCATCTGTGTGGTGCAAGAACAGTTGCAGTAAAATGGGGTCATACTTGAATCCCTCTTAATGTCTAAGGAGCAATTTACTTCAGCTGCTCTCTGCACCAGGTGCTGAGCGCTGCTGCTGGCCTTGACATGCAGAGCTTGCAGTTTTTCTGCTATTTTTATCTGGAAAGTGGGAAGTTCAACTGTCTTCCTACCTCTCTGATGTCTCATTTGGGCCTGTTTCACCTTAGAGGCAGGAGGAATAAATTATTTCTAAGCTTTACTCATCTACCAGATCTGTTGTGAACTGAGTGACTTTTTTTCCTCCTCTCCTTCCCTACCTCTGCTTGCACCCTTACCATCCTGCTGCTATTCAGAGATGCATTAGCAGCAGAGATGCATTAGCATCTAGTTTTTGCCTCTTGTTCTTTTAGTGGAGGTGGAGGAATCTCCCTATTAGGGGAGGGGTGAGGATACAGTATGTTTCCTCTGAAAACTTCTTTCAAGTTTGTGGCCCCTATCACCCTCTTGCCCTCATAAAAGCTTCATTTGTAAATGCTGCTACTTCTCTGGTGCTTGAGTTACGCTGTATCCTAGTCCTTAAAATGCCTCTTGAGGCACAGGGTGCTTGACTCAGTGACTTTCTCCTAAAATGTTGGCACCCAGTCCATTAAATTGGACAAGGAGAGAAAAAAAAGACCAGCGGGGATTTGGAACAACCAAAGACTTGGCTGATAACATCCAGTCCTGTGCAAAGCACCTCTGGGCTGCTACAGCAGGTTTTGCTGCTTTTCTGTACCATAGTCTCCGAGCTATAGCGGGTTGTGCAAAGCCATTTGCAGAGTGTAGTGTTATAGAGCTGCAACTCATGAATGCCATATATACACAGTACGGCATTTACATCTGGCTTGCATGCTAGTGCATAAAGCAGACCTTTCAAAATGGAGAGGAAGTGCTAACACTGGGGCTCTGGCCTCCTTTCTTCCCAGGTAGTGAATGTGACAGGCAATCAGGACATCTGCTACTACAACTTCTTGTGTGCTCACCCCCTTGGAGTGTTGAGGTGTGTGACCATTGATATGGTTTTGTGTATCCTGCCTGTTTGTGCTGTACCTGAGTGAAGATTTTGTCTTTGCCAGGCTTAGAGCATCCATGCTGATAAGACCACAGAGATTTAGGGCTCATAGCAGAGTCTCCCTCACTTTTCCCCTTAGCTCAGCTACGGCTTTCTGTTGCAGTGAAACAGAAACACTGGTACCAGTGTTCCTGGTACCCAGGAACATTGGTACTTGAATTTCCTTAGCAAATCTACTGGAAAGCAAGGAAGGGCTCTGGAGCTCTTCTAAACACTTCCGTAGGCATCAAAGACGTAGCAGCTCTGCAAAGAAGTTTAGCTCAGTCAGTTTTAGCTCAGAAGTTTAGCTCAGTGCAGCATTTCTCTGATCTAACATGGAAATGGGAGAATGTAAAAGGGAGAACGCAAAGAAGATGGGGTCAAACTGTTCTCAGTGATAGCCAGGGAGAGGACAAGAGGTAATGGGTGCAAACTGAAACACAGCAAGTTTCATCATGAGGAAGAACTTCTTAGCTGTTAGGGTGACAGAGCACCAGAACAGAGAGGCTGTGGAGTCTCCTTCTTTGGAAATCTTCAAAACAAGCCTGGATATGACCCTGTGCCCTGTGCTCTAGTGAGCAGGGAGGTTGGACTAGATGATCCCTAGAGATCCCTTCCAACCTCAACCATTCTGTGATTCTATGAAATGCAGAGAGCCTAAAGTTTGGAATCTTACAAGGAAAGTGTTTAAATCCACTGAGACAGGTGAAGTATCCAACCTAAAGTTATCATGCAGGATGTAAAACTAACTACAAGTGTTTGAACAACTGATAAAGTGCAGAGTAAGCGAGGGAAAAAGATCAGACACACAGTCTGTGACCTAGGGTTCTCCCTTCAGGTGCTCTGCTGTCCCTATCTTAAACTTTCTTGTTTCCTGCAGTGCCTTCAACAACATCCTCAGCAATGTGGGCCACGTGTTGCTGGGCTTTCTCTTCCTCCTGATTGTGTTGCGCAGAGACATCCTCCACCGTCGGGCCATGGAGATGAAAGATATCTATATTCTGGTAAGGAGCACTGATGCATGGGACCTAGTGGAGGATGGGAAGGATAAGGGGGATTTAGAAGCTAAATAGAGTGAGCTACACAGTGGCTTTCCATTTGCTTTCCTTGATGGAGGACTGAGTCTTTCTTTTGTCTCAAGATATGTCAGTACCAGGACACAGAGATCTCCAAGCCAGAAGTTTCATGCAGTTAACTTGGATTTGTTTCCTGTGGATTCTGCTGGCTGTGTAGCATACTGTGTTGGTATTGGTAGAGAGAGGACAGATGCAGGGGTGGGTAGTGGGGAAGACGCAAAGGGAGAATGAAAATTCGCTTGTGATTGGCATAGTGAGGGATATTGTATTGTGCAGCTTTACTCTCTTCCAGGATTATGGAATCCCAAAGCATTTTGGTCTCTTTTATGCTATGGGCATTGCTCTGATGATGGAAGGGGTGCTCAGTGCCTGTTATCATGTCTGCCCAAATTACTCCAATTTCCAGTTTGGTAAGCTGAGTTACCTGTCTGCTTTTGAGTTGGTGGTGGAATTTGCTGTGCTCTGCCTCCTGCTGAGTATTTCCCATTCTTCTGCCTGCACAAAACTTCCCTAGAGTTTGCCTAATTCAAGGTGTAGTCAGGAGGTGTATGACTCTGGAAATAAGGGACTACTGCTCTTCAACCTCCCTTCCAGGGTCCTGGGGACTTCAGTAGTGTGCTACTGGCAGGAGCTTCCCTCATTTTTTCTGCTTAGAGATTGAAGATGGAAAATGCACAGTCAGGATGTCTGAGTGCTGCAGCCCAGATTTCTTTGTACTCCACTGCAGTGGAAATGCTTTCTTTGGGGACCTCTCTGCTTCCCTGCCTGTTCCTGTGCTGCTTTGTGTTGCTGAGCATTTGTCTTATGGGTCCTATTCTTTATTGTCCCAGAGCATGTTAGATTGACGGCTTGACGGCAAAGCAAAGATGCTATCCAAAGTCACATAGCACTAAGGCTTCATGTCTGCTAGTTTTGAGTTTGTCCCTGCTTCCATGATTCTTCTTTATAGGCAATTTGGAACTGCTTGAGTCTGTTGGCAGAAGTCTGGAGTCTTTACTGACTCTCTTATTCTCCTTCCACAGACACCTCCTTCATGTACATGATTGCAGGACTGTGCATGCTCAAGCTGTATCAGACCCGCCACCCAGACATCAACGCCAGTGCCTATTCAGCCTATGCCTCATTTGCTGTGGTCATCTGTCTGGCAGTCCTTGGAGTGGTACATCTTCCTCTTATCTACTTCTCTCTCTGGGAAGGAGATGGCACTGCTTTCCAGCATGGCTCAAAGCTGAGCTGAATAAGACTGTGTGAAGTAGATGATAGCATTTGAATTCCCAATGAGCTTTTTTTTTTTTTTTTTCCCCTGGGCTCACAGATAAGAGCAGAGCAGTTTGCTCTAGGCTTGCTCTTTTTCAAGCCTTGTCTACCCTGTTCTACTCCTCCCGAGATGGGGAGGTTCATGCACCAAGATGTGCTTGTACAGACATGTTGCTGGCTTCTCATGGGGAGGTCCACCTTGGAGTTGAGGGGTGAACTGGCTTGAGCTTTGAAGAAAAGTGTCCCTTGCCAAACCGCTCATGTCTTTTCTCCTCCTTTGGGAAACTGTGTTACTGGGCACAGCTTCTGCAATTGGCTTTGCTGTCTTTGGAGAGATGCAGGGCTAGTATTATTGTCCAGGGACTTCCAGGCAAGTTTCAGAAATATCTAGTTGTAGAAGGGCAGTGGTGCAGAGGGAGCCAGCAGCTAGAATAGCAAGAGGATGACCGTTGTGTGCCAGCAGTTGCCAGTGGGTCAGACTGGTGTGAGGCTTTGCCCTTTTGCTCCTAGCAGCACAGGCCCTGAGCTGGCTTGCCTGAACTGCCAATCTATAGTTGACCTTTGAGGTCTCTGCTCTCTTCTCTGAATGTTTGGAGTTTCATTCAGCAGTAACTAGACAAAATCTATTGAATTCTTGCATTGAACTAAAAGCTGTGTCCCAGTAGGTTTTTAGCCCAACACTACCCAATGTAATGCAAGTTATCAATCAGTTCTGTAAAGGTCTTAGGGTAGGCGAAGGGATCTGTGAGATAATGCATGCTGATTTTCCTTGTGACTTCACAGAATCACTTGATAGCAGTAGACACTAAGATGCAACATAATGAGGTTTTATTACAGGAGACTATATTATCTTGTCAGGAGCTTTGAGGAGTAGAGCAAGCTTATAAGCTGCATATCTCCCTAGTTCCACTCACACAGAAGCAGCTTTTCTGCCTTTGTGTAAGTTGTTTGATCATAGGGAAGGAAACATTTAGGAGAAAACAGTGTGTGCTCACAGCAGGCACTGAGTTCCTGGGCACTTCAGCATATGACAGAAACATTAAGGTTTTCATATAGCATTAACCTGGATTTGTAGACAACTTCCAGTTCTTAAATAAACTAGAAGTGTATGACAGGAGCAACTGCCTGCACAGCAGCTTTGCTGTTTTCAGAATAAAACTAACCATTTGCTCAGTTGCTGTGTAGCGTGACTGGCTCTTCAGAGTTTACCACACATGGACCATGTCTGACAGGTTCTATAGCTGAATTAAGTGAAAGATCTTCTGAAACAATGGTGTGTTCTCACCTTGTACCTCTGAAGAATCCACATGTCTTAAAAATCATTGGATGTAGGCATTACTAGGAGTAATTTTAGTCTGATGTGATGCACTAGTTAAAGTAATGACTGGTTCCCTCACTGCCTGTTTGTCGAATCCAGCTCAAGGTCTGCAAGTTGCTGCCCAGGCGCAGAGAGAAATTGCTTGGGCTTGGGAGTCCCTGCATTTCTGTTCTCTGAGCCAGCTGCACTCCTCTGAATTTTCAGTCCTCTCTGAAGAGTTGAAAAAATGGTCTCTTCTCCAAAAGTACTGAGCTGTTATTGCTTTTCTGGACTTCATCTGGATTTATAGTTTTGTTTTCAAATTGAGAATTTGGGGGTTTATTTCTATGGTCAGTGATGATTTCTAACACCACATGGAGGTTGAGGAGAGAGTGGGAAAGGGACTGAGCCACTGTTAGCAGGGCTCAATTTGCTCTTAATATATTTTTGTTTTCAGGTATTTGGAAAAAATGACATGTGGTTTTGGGACATTTTCTCAATGATCCATGTTCTGGCCTCTCTGGCTCTCAGCACTCATATCTACTACATGGGCCGCTTCAAGATTGGTAAGTGCTGCAACTGAACTGTGTTGCTCTGTGGTGTCCATGCATCTTCTCTTCTCACTAACACAAGTGACTGCTGGAGTACTTGGTGCCTCTGTGAGCCTAGTCCTTTGGCCTGTGCTTGTCCTGGGTTAGTCTATCCTGTCCCTCATCTGAGGCTCTTTCTGCCTCCCAAAGCCCTCATGCTGCTCCTCTGCAGACATGTAGGAGTCAGCAGGACTAGGCTGCCCCATGGAGCTAGAAGAGCTGGGCTCCTTCTTAGGAGCTTGTCATATAGCTACAGCTCTTCCTTGTGCTATGCTCACAGGAGCAAGCTAAATAAACACCATCACGAGGTAAGGGAGTGGTGTGCTGGAAAACCTGGCTCTTGTGTTCTGCTTACAAACTTGTTTCTCTTTCTTCTTCTGCTTCTCTCTGCCTCAGATGACCTTGATTCAGGTAACCGGCAGCAGCTCCTATTCTTCCCTGGGGAGGTGACTGAGAAGCAACATAGCAGTTAGGGCTGCATGAATGTGTGGGGAGGCACCCTCAGGGGCTGACTCTCCAGGAGTGAAGTCAGTTTGCCAGAGTGCAGCTTGTCCTTCTTCCTTGACAGGAAGAAGATGGTCTAGTGTCATATCAGAGCTCTCCTGCACTAGAGACTTTTTAGCTCCATGTTTAGGTCCATGTTAGATGTCTGTGCGTGTGGGTGGGGTGCATGCATATTCATATCTGCTCATTCTCCCTGCCACTAATGACTCCTCTGTAATGACTTTTACGGGCAGGAATATCTTGAATGCATGCTGCTTCTACAGGCCCTTCTGATGACTCTGAGGGACAGATGTCTGCTGTGGTCCCCTTTTAAAGCAGCTTGTTCCACAAAAGGAATTTTTCTCCCTTGCTGCACATGCAGAGAAACACTAAGCTTTTCATATAGCATTAGTCCTCCAGAGAAGTGGCTGCAAGGGCCAGCCTGCTTGTACATACAGCCAGCCTATTTGAATCCTGGGCTGTGTCAGTTTCAAGAGATGATGTCTTTTTAACATGTCACCCCAGACAAACATCATCTGTATCTCAATCATGGTGGCTGCCCTACAGCTCAGTACAAACTGCTTTCCTAGAGCCAGCAATGAACCTGCACACTGCCCTGTTCATCTGCAGACTGGGTCCTCTGCCAGCTAGCAGGTGCCCACTCTTCCCCATTCAGCCATTTGCAGCTCACTCTGGCTGCACTGTCTTTTTAACCTCTTTTCTCTGGCAGACTTGGGGATATTTCGTCGGGCAGTGATGGTGCTGTACACGGACTGTATCCAGCAGTGCAGTCGACCAATGTACATGGTAAGATTTCCTCTTATCTTGGGATCTCCCTCACCACTCACTCACTTATGAGGTACAGAGGAAAAGGTTGTCCCTTTTTGCAAAAGTGATGCTTCACAACTTTTCGTCCCTAAAATATATGGGTAGATGCAGATCTCTAGTGGAGCTGTTTACCCTGACCAGGCCTCCTCTGTTCTAAGGTTCAGTGAATAAAAGATCAGCGCAAAGGTACTGCAGATGCGATAGGATTTGCCTTTGCCCTTGCTCCCTGGGAGGTGTCATTTCAAAGAGATTGGCATAAGACTTTGGGCAGTAACTGTCCCTTATGGCTCTGGGGCTAAAGCAGTGGCTATTGATATTCCTACAGCACCCCAGGGCAAACAAGGAAGAAACAGCAGCTGTTACCTTATATCCCACTGACTCCTTTTTATTTGGTACAGAGGACAGATTATAGCTTGAAGCCAAGTGAGCTTTGTATCTGTGAGCATCCATCTCAATAATCTTCTTAATTCCTTCACCTCTGAATAAGTGCCAGACTGAATTTTGCAAGCAAACTAGGATCAATCAAGCATGAAGTAAGGCTAGTTATCCTGAAAGAGCTGTCATGAAAGCTGCTATAAGCACAAATGTATTTTCCCCGTGGACATATCCCTTCTGCCTGCCACAGTTACAGTGCTTCCTTAGATAATGGAGAGTTTGGTGGAAAAACGGACTCCTTGTTTTCTGGATATATCCAGAATGCTATCCAAACCTTCCACTGCCCTTTTTCACAAGCAAGTCTTTCCTCTGTGGTAACAGTCCTATAAAATAGGAGAGGAAAATCTATCTTGGAAACTAGCAGAAACTTAGCCAAGAATTCACAGTCTGAGGCTGATTCTCAAGTGCTGTGTGTCTTTAGATGCTTACTCTCCTTCTTGCAATTCTGTATTCAAATTAGAGAGGGCCAGGGCAACATCCATCATATGCACCATTATATGTATCATCATATATCCATCATATGTATTTGCAGGAGCCAGACCCCAAGCCATCAGACACTGGTATTGAATTTTCAAGGCAAAGACCTGTTTTATTCCCTCCTGGTTTCATATAATTATCAGTGTTTCCTCCACAGGACAGGATGGTGCTGCTTATTGTTGGAAACCTGGTCAACTGGTCCTTGTGAGTGCGGGGTATATGTGTCCTGTGTGCTTGTGCATGTGCAAGCTAGCATTGTACCGGACACAGAACTGTCATCTAGGTGGCCTAGGGTGATGGGGAAATGTAGTGGAATCTGCCACAACCCTTCTGTGCTTGTGCCAAATCGTGCTTGCAGGGTAGAAATGGATTCAATGGGCAGAGTTGGTAGGTAGATCCAGGTGACAGTGCTGTCTTGTGGTTTTGGAATGAGCTAGCTCATTTAGAACCAGCTGGTCACCTCAGGGTAGTTGTACTGCACACATATTTCCCACTGTACCGGGAGGTCTTCAGCACAGCTCTGGGCCAGCAGACTTGGCAGAGATACTAGCCAGATGGTCATGTGTCTGGCTCAACCCTAACAGTGTGGCTGGAAGGCCTTTGGCCTAAGTCCTTGTTTTTCACTAAAGCTGGTTCTCAGGAACATGCTTTCCTCTAAACATCCAGATCTGCAGTCAAGTACCACAGAGGCACAAGCATTTGGCCATGAATGGAAGCAACCCAGAGCTCCTCTTCTTTCCTCTGTGGTCTCATGTTGCTTGTGAGGCACTAAGCACAGTTGAGTCTGCTCTGCTTTGCTTCCTGGCAGAGAGAGCAAAGGCACAGAGCATGTTTTCTCCAGGAAATTGGGAGTCCATGGCAGTTTTGCAGCACCCAGTGATCTGGGAAAGGCAGTGAGCAGTGATGGGTTTAGGTACCTACCCTGAAAGTCTCTGAAAGAGTTCATCTCTATTCCACTCTCTCCCCACTCAGTGCTATCTTTGGACTAGTGTATCGGCCCAGAGACTTCGCCTCCTACATACTGGGAATCTTCATCTGTAACTTGCTGCTGTATCTGGCTTTTTACATCATCATGAAGGTAAAGGTGCCTATCTCCACAGCTACCCAAAAAGAAAGGGATGGGCCTTGCTGTTCGTGGATGTACTCTGGGCTCCTGTAGTGCTGTGGAGCGGGCTATGGGGGACTCCAGGGTGGGACAAGGTACAAGTGTTGGGCTGGAGGCTGCTGTCCAAGGGGCCATGCTGGTTCCCATGGAACTTCACAAGTGCCACTTGAACAGCATTGGTTTCAGGTTGTGGTGACTCATGAGAATAACTGCTCCAGAAAGCAGTTATTGTCAGGATGTTTAATAGCAGTGTTTGGCTCAAAGAAATTGTTAATTCCCCTTTGACTCTGTGAGACCAGCTCCTCAGCCCCTGCTTTGAGACAGTTCTTGCTTTCCAAATCCCAGTTCAGGAAGGCCAAGCCAGGGACATCCATGCTGGCCCTACAGAGAGCCAGGCTTAGGGGGTCGAGCTACCTTCCCTGGACTCCCTGCTTCACTTTCCACTTGGGAATGCTGCTGGAGGTCCCATTGCTTGTGCTCAGAGCAGAGATGACACATCTATGTTCAACTTTCATGTTCTACACTTGGAAAAACATTTGATATAGGAGCTGGCTGGCTGGCTGGTTTGAAACAGGCCATGCAAAATGCTGAGGCTTGCCCAGTGTGCAAGGAGGAGGCGTTGGTTGAACAGCAGTGTTTGCTCTCAGTGTTATACAGGGGATCTGCCTGCCCTTGCAGCACCTTGTGGGTGCAGGCAGCTTCCAGGCAATGTGCATGGGCCTGGGCCCACTGCAAAACTGCATCCTTCTTCTCCACAGCTTCGCAGCTCAGAAAAGCTCCTGCCTATCCCACTGTTCTGCATCATGGCTACAGCAGTGATGTGGGTGGCTGCCCTCTACTTCTTCTTCCAGAACCTCAGCAGCTGGGAGGTAATTTATCTTTCATTGTCAGCACCTGCCTGTGTTGCCATCTTTGCTTCCCTACCTTGTTACCTTGTTGTTCCTCTTCAAAAACAAAACAAAACAAAACTCGTTTAGAAAAGAGTCTTAGGCCACTTATAGTGAACTAAAAGTCTTCAACTCCTTCAGCAAACTGGGAGGAAACCACGGGAAGCTGTGAGAAGCCAAAAAATTACTCTACTCATGCAGCTCTGGAGAAATGATTTGATCAGGTGATCCTGTGGTGGCTAGTCCCCAGCACGTGCTGGGGCAGAGGGAGAAGAGATGGCGATCTAAAAGGTGAAACTGGGCAAATCCTGATAAGTTGCAGGTGACAGGCCCCTCCATAGGGAGGGAAGCTCCTTGTGGATGCACCTGTGATCTGAAAGGCTCTTAAATCTATACTGGTACCTTCTGATAAGAGATGGCTTTTGTTTTTGGAAGCAAGGGGCTTGCTGCTGGGGTGACCAGGGGAGACTGAGTAGTCTGTGCTGTGCAGCATCCCTCATGCAAAGACCAGAGGGTTTTCTCTGGCTTATGATCCTTAGTCAATTTGCAGGTTCAAAGTAGTGTACAGAGTTACTGCTTTATCTTCACCTCTTGTTCTGCTATCAGTCATCCTGGCTCCCTAGGTAGAGTTAAGATGAAGCATTATCCTGATGTGGCCCTGTGTGAGAGGATATTGGGGTAAGTGCTCTCTCTCCCTCTCCCAGGAGACTCCAGCAGAGTCTCGGGAAAAGAACAGGCCGTGCATCCTTCTGGGCTTCTTTGATGACCATGACGTCTGGCACTTCCTCTCTGCAGCTGCCTTGTTCTTCTCCTTTCTGGTAAGTTCTGTTTCAAGCCCCCCTCACTTTGTTGTATAGCATCACCCTTTCTTCCTTCTTGTCCTCCCTTGCCCCATTGTTGGCCCCAATAGCCTACAAAAGTGCACAAGCTCTTTTCCAAGATTGCCTTTGTGGTGATTCCAGGGAGCAGGGATTGGACTTTCTGCTTTGACCTATTCTTCCTTAGGCCTCCAGACCACCAGCAAGGGCTGTTCCCTACCTTACAGTTTCTTCCTCCTCAGGTCCTGCTAACCCTGGATGATGACTTGGACACAGTGCGCAGGGACAAGATTCCAGTTTTCTGAATTCCAAGGGGAGGCAAAGGGTGTCCTGAACTGCTCCCCCAGCCAAAGGCACCAGGCCACCAAAGCCCATTGGAAACAAACCTGCTTCCATGCCCAGCGGCCCTGAGGGAAAGAGGAGTTGGATCCTATGACAAGCATGAAGGGATGCTGCAATAACTGAGGCAGGACCAGAAGGGAGGATTGGTATTTGCACCTTACCCATGGCATCTGCTGGAGCAGACACCACCTGACAACCTGGGCTAGTGAAAGCCCTCTGGCTTCTGAATCTTCAGTGAGAGCCACTGAAGAGGGAGGTAACTGGAAGTTTTATCATTAACTCTGGTGAGTGCACTCGAGACACAATGCACACCCTTCCCTTGTCCCTTCCCTTGTCTGCAGCTGGTGCCTCCAGGGGCCGCTGCCTTCAGCGGGTCCCGTCAGCAAGCTGGGGGAGCATATTGTTCCCATCCCGTGGCCGTTCCAGGACACAAAACAACTGCTGGGTGAGCAAAAGACTCCAAGCTGAAATGGTAGTGGGCTGTTGTTTTCATCTTGCTGTAGAATCTTATCCTGTGTCTGGAAGGGAACCATGATACCAATAGAAATTCGTCTAAGGGATGGCAGTGTTTGAGACAGATGGTGGACTGAAGTTTCCCATGAATGCTCTACAAGAGGCAGAATCTCCTGTCTTGGTTACTGTGGCCTCTTATCCTTTTACACATAGAACAACCTCACTTACCTCTGGCAGCTCGCCACATGAGTGCTTATCAGCACAGTGGTTTCTTGTATAGCAGCAGAAGTGCTTCTCTGAGCAGTGTGAGCCACCATGGCTCACTGGCAAACAAGTCACAGCCTTGTTTGTAGTGTAGTGTCTTGGCCCCTGTTGCATGGTCCAGGGAGCTTTGCTAAAAGGGCAAGGTGGAATGAAGAATCCATCCAGCAACCTCAATTTCTTTCCAGCTCCTATGTGCTAGTTTTGAGCAAACTTGGCAAGAATGTTCCTGTTCTGGGTTGGGGCTGAGATTTTATGGGGGTTGGGGTTGACTTTTTTATCTAAATGTCTGACTTTTCCCCTCTTCAACTTTTCTGCAGTTGAAATAGTTTTTTATTGATTTCTGCATTCCTCCTGAATTTTCAGATATTTAAAAACAAGAATAAGATGTGAAATATTGCAGACATTGCACCTAAAATATCACCTGCTTTGTTAATTTTCAATTAAAAATATTCTTTGAGGCCTGCGGTCCTTACTTTTGTCATTATCTGATTATTTGTTCTTTGGTGCATGTGCATGCATTCAGTGCAAAGGCTTTGATCCAGTCATGTTATGTAAGCAGAAGTCTGTGGTCATTTTCTATTCTGAAAATTCTGTATTGTCTAGGAAAGTTTTGCACTAACAAAGGTGGAAAAAAATCATTTTATTTCCTTCCCCCTCAGTTGGAATTTGTCAAAGTGGTCAATAAAGTGAATGTTCCCAATCTCTGCTCTGCAGGCTGATCCAACTTCTTGCTTAATGTATTCGCAGCAAGGAGAGCACTCTAGGCAAGGTTGTGCCCAGAGGCGTAATACAGCTGCTGCTGTCATTAGGTTTCACCAAGACCTTTGCATACACTTTCTTGAATGTATATATTAATGACCTGCTTGTTCTCCTAACTAAACTGACTTTACAAGACTAATTGGAGCAAAGAGCCAAAGTTATTGCTATTGAAGTAACTAACCATTAGGAACAACGTTGAGAGGATGCCCCAGGAAGGTTGTTGGCTGGTTATCGTCCCACGAGAAGCTGCATTGATATGGAGCTGCACCCCTTGCAGGAGATGCCACTACATGCACAAGGTGGTGACGGCCTGGTGGGTGTTTTATTTGTGGCTTTGCCATGCAGCTTGAGTTGTGAATTTGCAATGGTCCTGGAAATGAGAGCATGTTTCTCAAGCTCATTGCTAAGAGGGAGCTTCTCTTTCTTGAAGTTGCCAGCATGGACTTCAGGGAAGGAGACAAAACTCTCACTTTTGTCTGACCTGAGCCAGCAGAGAAGTATCAGGCTGAGAATAATCTTTTTTTTTCCTCTCTTCAGCTACCCAGCAGCCTTGACATACATTCTCTTTGTATCTAAAATGATATAATCCAAGACCTGCTTTCAATCTTTCCTTTTGGGAGGGAAGGACTGCAGAGGACTCCAAGAACAGGAGGTGCAAAAAAAGCCCCACATCCTTGCTGCTGACTGCATCTCTCATAACCCAGTTATAAACCTGTTGTGCAGATGGAGCCAGTTAAATTTCTGTTCCTGAAAGTGAGCGAATGTTTGACCTGACAGCTTCTTTTGTACCACCTGCTCTTTCCCCCTCCCTGCAAACACAGAGGCTGCTGTAGGAATCCACATTCTTCATTTCCAGGTCTCTAACAGGTTAGTGAAACCCAAATCTGTGATAATCTTGGTATTATAGGTCAAGAGGTATGTGGGAGGAGTGATTTGTGCAGCCTGTAGACTCTGAAGGCCCCTCAGAGAGCAATGGTTTGGGTAGTAAACCAAAGTTTAAGTTGGGTAGTAGTTCAGGGCCAGGGTTCGGGGTATCACAGGAGAAGTAGCTGTTTTCCTTGGAAAACAGGGAAGACTTCCTGCTGGAGCTCTCATCACAGGCCTTGCACTAACAAGTCTCTCATTCTAACAAGTGCCTGGAGAAGCTTAGGCCTAACCCCACCTGAGACTTTGGAGTGGGTACAATGTTTTGGCCATGGACGAGCTTGCAGTGCCAAGGGAAGAATATTAAATCCTGGGCACTAGGGGCCCATGGCAGGTGAGAACATGGCCTATCACTACCAGTACCTTGAGCACCAGCTTCTGGAAAATGCCATGCAGAGAGGAGCCACTTCAAGGCAAAGCTTGTCCCATTGCTACGGGACCTGCAGGGAAATGCATTGCTCTTGTCCAAATTGGAACCTTGTTTGAGGTGAGAGATTATATTGGAGTGAGAAAGATGCTTGAGGTGGTGCTAATGCCCTGCTAGAGGCCCAAGGATTAGAGTGTCTGTCATATAGACTTCACTAGGCTTCAGCTTAGCTGCCCAGTTTCTGAGCTGCCCATACATGAGTCAGACCATGCGGTTAGCCCTGTGTAACAGGGGGTAATATTTTATACAAATTGAGTAAGTCTGGCCAGAGACTCCTGTACTATTTCTTATAAGAACAAACAAATGTTTCCTCTCTGAGGCCTCTTGAGTTAGAGGTGGGGAGAGGAGGGACAGTAGCTTAAAAAAACACAAAGCGCACAAACTCTATCTTGATCTTGCAAACTTAGCAGGTTGCACAACTGGTAAATGGGTGTTTTGGGGGTGTTTGGGTGCCTCTGTCTGGCAGGGTGACCTGGCCTAGTGCTGGGGCAGCTCTGTACTGTCAGCTGTCCTGTTCTAGCTTGGTTCTGCAAGTCCTCAGCACACAAATGCAAGGGAAGCATGGAGTCTTGCAGTACATCTTTTGTTCTTTTTTTTTTTTTTCTCTTTCATGTTCACTGAGGAAGTCAGCATTAGACTGAGGTGTGGGGAGGCAACTAGAGCAGCAATTGGGATGAATGCATGTGTTAGAGTATGAGGCTTATGAGGCTGCCACTCAAGGGCCCCCTTTGCTCATAAGGGGCAGGTAGCCTGATCCCTCTTCCCCTGCCACATGTTCATCCTTCTTGCTGCATTCTCCTCTAACAACTCCTAACAGGGAAGAATATGGTTCAGTTTTGCTTTGGATTTTCTGCTTTGCTTTTTCTTTTGATTTTTTTCTGCTTTTGATTTTTTTCTGCTTTCTGCTTGGATTTTTTTCTGCTTTTTTCTTTTGGTTTTTCTGCTTCTGCTTTTCAGTTTGCTTTGGATTTTCTGTCCCCTGCCATTCCATTCATTGAGTTTGTTTCATGGTGGGGCTGAGGGTAACAACAGAAGAAAGGCCAGGGTCCCTGCTGGAAGTAGTGGTAGCCAAACTATCATCCAGTGTATGTTGGAAACCGGGTCTATGCAGCAATACCAGCCCTGAGCTTTCAGTGGGTGGTTGCTAAACACTCCTGTTCATATGTGAAGGCATGAGACAAGCTGGTCTGTATGTGTCAGCAGAGCTATGATAATGATGATGATGTGCTGTCATCTATATCTGTGGTCTGCACTTCCTGCAGCACAGTGCTAAACCTGCTCTGTCTTCTGAATATGTCCCTGAGTAAAAGGCAGTGCAGAGCTGTGGTCAGGCTAAAGGTGCATGGCCAGAAAGCTGGTGCTGAGCAGCTGCTGCTTTCCACCCAGAAGCAACATGACCTTGATGCTTTGCTTTACTGTGCTCTTCTTTTCTCCAAGCTCCTGGGCACCAGACCATAGGTCTGCTGACCATCATTCAAGAAAGTGGGGATGGACAGATAATATTTATTCCTTAGATCTATCTAAAATTGTTTTTTTTCTTTTTGGGGAAAGGGAAGCTACCAGATTCACATTGTTGATGTGACACAGCTATGACCAAAGCCTCTGGGATGGTAAAAACCCAACCAATGCAAAACAGCCAAGCTGTTGAGAAGCATGTGACATTTCAGTGAGACATAAAGGCAGAGCCTTAGCCATTTAAAATAGTTTTGTGCCCATTGAAACAATGGTACAGACACAGAGAGGACTGTGTCCAATAAAAAGAGGAGCAGGGTACTCCTCAGACTATACAGAACATTAACAGGGTTTAGGTCAGATTAAGGTAGATTGGTTTTTCTGTCTTGGGGTGGGTGCAGTCAGCTTGAGCCAATTTCACTCGTATTTTTGTACGTGGTTGCCATCATCTATATGTGTGTGTGTGTATATATATAGATAGATAGATGTAAGTCATGTACCACAGACAGCAGGTATCTACAGGGAGAGTAAAAACCTACACCCCTCTGCACTCTGCACAAGCTAGCACTGGAGCTGGGCTGTTGGTCTTTGACAATGTTTGGTGCTATGAAGGGTAGTTGAACAGTGCCACCTTCTAGGTCTCAGGTAGAGATGGTAAGGGGCTTAGGCTGGGATTGCAAGGTTGCTGAGATTGCAAGCTTGGCTTAAGGTTGCCATTGCTGCTCAAAGAAAGTAAACTGTGTGCCAGCTCTTCTTGTTGCTCTAATGAACCACACATGTGGCACAAAATACAAGTTAGTCTGACTCAGTAAAGTTATTTAAAAACAAATGACCTAAAATTCTCCTCCATGTAAGACAGTCCTGTGCTCACAAAGCTTTTAAGGTTTCTGACGAAACCTTCCTTAGATCCTCCAGAAAGAATTGGGTTTGTAGCATTTCTAATGCTCCCTCAGCAACTTGTGTGTTGCCCAAGAATCCCAAATCCTTTTATTTAACTCTTGCAGTGTTCCTATGGTATCAATTCATTCCAAATAGCATCCCACAGGTACAGAACTGGAATCCAGGCAATGCGGTGGGGCATCATGCACACCCCAGCCCACAAAGCAGTGAACAGCAGGTACTTTCAAAAGCTGTTTCTTAGTATGGTGGTTATTGTCACCTCTACAGGAGCAACGTCTGCCATGCATGATTCAGATGCATAATATTTCTTCTGGATCATGTGGTTTCATATACCCAAATGAAGTGACATGTAACCCTGGAATATACTAAGTGTAGTTCTGAGGAAAACTGTAATTTTCAAGTGTCCCGTCTCAAACCCAAAACTTCTTAACATAGCTTGAAAAAGAATGAGCTGTGTGTGGCTTTCCAGAAGAAAAAGTAAACCACAGAAATGTTCAAAGAGCATTTTTCTTTTTTTTTAATAAAATACTATAATGTTCATATCTATGCAAATAATTATTACAACCATTAAACAAAGTGTTACATTTAACAATAGAAATCTCAGAACTCTAAATAAGATTATGGTCTGGAGAATTTACACCTGAATGTAGTACATGTTTAAAAAGCTGTCAAAATACTCAGAACAAGATCTTATTTACATTTACAAGGTGATTTCCTGATCATTATATATTTCTACTGCAGATTTCCTTTTTTCATTACAAAATAGTATGGACTTTTCCCTGGGGCTGTATCCAAATATACAACTGTATAAAGCAGGAGTACAGCAGAAAATTCTGAACCAAATATAAATAATTTACACCACTGACAGCAACGGACATTTTTGATTA